TTCAGGGCCGTTTCAGCCCACTTTTATTTAAATGACAGTTCAATAACATAAGAGGTTTCCCATGAAGGGGTATCCAACATCAATATCACCAAAAAGATTCAGCCTTCCGGCTCTCTCAGATATAAACACTCTTTCTCTAGCCTTTCTCTTCAGGCTTACATCTGTCTCCTGCAGACTCCTTCAAAAATGGCTCTCGCACACAGCTAGCCACTAGCACACAGCTACTCCCGAGCAGCCCCTTGCTGCTTTTGGCTTCCACCTCTCCTAGGTGAAGCCCACCTGACTTCAAGGCAGTGACCACCTGCCTGCCGGGTTGGAGCCCTCCTGACTCCTGTCTGCTGAGGTGGAGCCCAGAACCCTGGTCCTGACTCTATGAAAAGGCCCGCACACACCTGTGCAATCAGTATCCTGGCCATTTCCAAAACCTGGTCCCAGGATTGGAGATTTCATCCCTCCCAGATCTCTTTGAAATCTCCAGGCTCCAGATCCCAAAATGGACCTTACAAACAAAGGAGGAAAGTGAAAAGCCACTTTCTTTCATATCAAACACTTACCCTGGAGCCCCTCAACCTGCCTTGTTGAGAATCCTGGGTGACAGATCGCCACACTGTCACAATACAGAATCTCAGAATAGCTGGCTATCCCCTCTATCTCCAGCAAAGGCTGCTGCTAAAAGATTTGAGGTGGAAAATCCATCCTCCAGTACTTGCTGGCATTCTTGGAGTATCCTGCACCCTCATGCCTCTTTTCTGTTCAATTGTTGCAATAAATCCAAAGGACATTCCCTAGACGTAGCCTGTGTTTGTTGGTGTGCTTGAAACTAGTGTCTGGAACTGCCAGCCTCTGAACAGGTGAGGAAGACCTGGGTCATTCTCATGGCTCTTGGGGGTAAGTGCTACACAAATAACTACCAGAAACAGTTTTCTCTATTCTTTGGAAGTATTTTCTAGAACCTGAAAGTCAGATAATGGTTACCCCTAAGATAATAATCGGTTAAAGTGTCACTAAACATACAAGAATAATATCTGGCTGTATATGCAGTAATGCATCCTTATCATTCTCATTCTGACACCTAAGAGGTTAAATCTCAGCACTGTGTAAAAAACCTGGTTGATCCTGCCAACCTCTGCTTCTTCTTTCTTTCATTGTCCCCAATTCAGCTGCTGATTCTACAGAGCAGTGTTGGCAAGCAATGAGCATGTTCTGTTTTATCTGTGTTTCAATACAGACATTTCCTCTGTGATCGAAGCTGTGCCTGTCTCATGACTGCGACATCATACATGCGAGCATATATGCAGATGATGAATGACCTCCCACATCCTCCCTCCTCCTCCATACCCATTAACTAGCAAAATACACAGTGGGTAGAACACTGAGATACAGTATATTACCATGGATGTGTAGCTCCACCCACACCATGTTGTTGCTGAATAACAGCACCAATCAATGCGGTCTAGACAAAAGGGTCACAGATCATGCTTCCTCTTCTGATATACATAGATACATCAAAGGAGAATGGAAGCTCCTCCTATGATCTCTAGCAGCACTTGGCTTAGACTTAGATATGAATCATGTGACCACTGTATGTGACCGCTTGTCAACATCATAACATATATAATGTGGCAGAACGGCTCTTCTGAGCTGGATCATGTACCTAATACGTGATCAGCGCTTCCAGGTAGGGCACATACACGCGCCCGTCAACCTTGCTGTGCTGTGATTCATTACAGCACAAGCCGATCATCAATTCCCAGCCAATGATTGACTGCTGGGACCAGCTGATTGGCTCTGTGATGGTAAATATTACAGAGCTCTGTATAGTGACAGAGGATCTTGTTTTTTTTTCATTCCCTGCTAAGCAGGGGAAAAAACAACAAGATCCCTTAGCAAAATCAGCACACATTAAAGTGTTACTAAAACCCACAACAATCAGTCTGTATATTCAGTAAAGTATGCTTGTTATACTCACTGTGGAACCTAAGGGGTTAATCCTCTGCATTGTGTAAAACTGCTGTTTTATCCTGATGTCTTTGATCTTCCCCTTCTTCCATTGTCCCCCTATTATCTCTTGATAAGACATATTGTGTGAAGTCACTCTGCACATGCTCAGTTTGGTGCATATTGCTAGAGAGGTATTTGTTTCTTGAGAGAGTGCATGTGATCAGCACAGTGCCATTCAGCACTGTCCAAACAGAGGCCAGGGGTTCTGCATCTGGACCTACAGCAAAATGAAAACTCCTCCTACAAGCTTTAACCAGTGCTCGGCTGGAAACTGATAGAAGTCACAAGACTGCTCTAACTGCTGATGAGAAAAGGTATTTAGCAGTTTATTTACTAAAAGAATTGCATTTCCATGTTTTGTGTACTGTGGGAGACCAGATAGAGTGAATGCAGGGTCCTGGGTTTAGTAACACTTTAGCACTTCCTAGGCACACAGCTAAACTTTTGATTGTCCCAAATGTTAACCCCTTCCTACCCAGTGTCATTAGTACAGTGTCAGTGTATATTATTAGCACTGATCACTGTGTTAGTGTCACTGGTGATGTCAGTGGCAGTTAGTCAGTTCTCACTCAGTGTCAGTTATAATTAATATACACTTATTTTTATTTATTTACTTTATTTTACCAAATACATATAGCAGAATATATTTTGGCCTAAATTTATAAAGACATTTTATTTTTAATTTTTATTGGATATGCTTTATAACAAAAAGTTTTAAAAAATAGTTTTGTTTTTTTTTTTTTAAATTTTCAGACTTTTTTGTTTATATAATAAAAAAAAATAAAGAACCTAGTGGTGATCAAATACCAGCAAAAAAAGCTCTATTTGTGTGAAATAATGGTATAAATTTAATTTGGGTACAGTGTTGTATGACCAGGCAATTGTCAGTTAAAGTAGCACAGTGCCGCATAGCAAAAAATGATCTGGTCATGAAGGGGGGTAAATCTTCTGAAGGGCAAGTGGATATAGCAATGGCATACAGGTACTTAGCAGTTTAATGTTTTTAATGAACTACACAAACACGAATAGCTTACTTTGGCAGAACACATACAATGGGGTATGCGTTTAGTATCACTTTAAATATACATATTTCTATTAAAAAGTATTTCTTATCCAGAAGCACATTACAATATAGACTGCTGGATAACAGAGAACACTGCATTTTATGTAAGAAAAGCCAGACTTATATAGGTTGTCACTACAATGTATAATTCTCTGTTATATATAAAAAAGTTATGGAAGGAGTTTAGGCATGGTGCAACCATTTGTATAGCTGTATTCAAAGACAGAGCTGCATAACATAAGGAAAACCCCCAATGTTTGGGGAAACCATCAAATAAATTCATCAGAAGCATTGGTGTAATTGACGTATTCCTAAAAGGACCTTAACCAAACCCTTGACGTGGGACTGTGGATTACGCATTTATTTGCAAATGTGTGCAAACAAAACCCTCTGTTTAGAACTGTTAGACAGGGCCAAATTGGTTGTTTTGTGGGCTGGCTGGTAAATGTTGCTGGGAAATCCTTTGTTTGTTTGCAATGTGCATCTTACTGCTAAGGCTGGTTATAGGTTGGGACGGTTGCTATTTTTTGTGTAGTTGGCTTATTTGGATGCAGGGGCACACTGGATGCCTTTGCTGTCATTTTGGTATAGCTGGGCGTCACGTGTATCCCTGTACCTTTAAGGAGGGATGGGCTCCTCCAGGCACACCTGCCCTTAACCTATCCATTGATACATGTGCTCCTACTATGGAGGTTTTGGAAATTTTAATTAGGTCCACAATATACAGAGGACTCTGGGACTGTGGCTTATGCATGTATTTGCAAATGTGTGTAAAAAAAACCCTCTGTTTTTAACTCAAACTGTTAAACAGGACCAAATTGGTTGTTTTCCAGGCTGGCTGGTAAGTATTGCTGGAAAATCCTTTGTTTTTTTGCTCTGCCAGGCTCATCCACCTTGCCAACCGTTCAGCGTCTGCTACCCCTCTTTGTCAATCCCTTCAGTTGCTTCCGCTCACCAAACAAACTAAATTCAAAATACTAACAAAAACTTAAAAAACAATTCAAAACTTGGCCCCCGGCTACATCACTAACCTTGTCTCATAATATCAACCAAATCATTCTCTTCATTCCTCCCAAGACCTCCTGTTGCTAGCTCCTTGTCACCTCCTCCCATGTTTGCCTCCAGGATTTCTCTCAAGACTCTCCCATCCCATGGAACTCCATAACCAAATCTTTCCGACTATCTTCTATTCTGTCCACTTTTAAATAATCCACAAAAACCCTTCTCTTCACAAAGCCCTATCCTGCCCCCACCTAACAACTGTACTTTTATTTTCTCTATCAGCTCATCCCCCAAAGTTATTACCTTCTGTATCTCTTGACCCTCCCTCTTAGATTGCAAGCTGTACTGAGTAGGGCCCTCTGATTCCTACTGTATTGCATTTTATTGTAGTTGTGCTGTCTGCCCTCATGTTGTAAAGCACTGCATAAACTGTTGGCGCTATATAAATCCTGTATAATAAAAATAAGAAGAAAGTTAAATATATGTTTACCTTCCACCCATGGTGCCTAGTCAGTGTTTTCACATAACACTCCTACCAACTAGATTTCAAGTACACAGAGGATCCCTTATCTAGCACTGTGGCGGATGGGCCATGACATCAACTTTTTCTATATAGAAGTCAAGTGTAGGTATATTTTTTATGTTTTCTCCACCGGTGTTTTGGATGGAAGGGGGTGACGTGGGCCATTATCTAGTTGCCGACCGCAGATAGCCGAATGACGGCTGCACTGCGGCCGGCCAGTTCTGGGTGGACGTCATATGACGTCCTCCCAGAACGCGCTCTCCTGCGCGCCCCAGGGGGCGCGCACCCGGCGATCTCTGTGATCGCTGTGTCCTACGGACACAGCTGATCACGTGATGTGGTAAAAGGCCAATCATACCGGCCTTTTACCACGTGATCAGCGGTGTCCAATGACACGCTGATCACAGGGAAATGCAAGTGCCGGTTCTCGGCTGCACTTTCCTCACGCTGTCAGATCGTGAGGAAAGTACTGCTGAGAACCGGCAGTTGTCAGAGCGAGGATCGGCACCGATCATCAGGGCACTGATGATCAGTGCCCTGATGATCGGTGCCCAGCAGTACCACCCACAAGTTCCGCCAACCTGTGCCCAGTAGATCACCCATCTGTGCCCAGCAGTGCACCCACCTGTGCCCAGCAGTGCACCCACCTGTGCCACTCTGCAGTGTCACACACCTGTGCCCAGAAGTGCCACCTACCTGTGCCCAGCAGTGCCACCCACCTGTGCCCACCCACCTGTGCCCAGCAGTGCCACCCACCTGTGCCCACCCACCTGTGCCCACCAGTGCCACCCACCTGTGCCCACCCACCAGTGCTGCCCACCAGTGCCACCCACCAGTGCAGCCCAGCAGTGCTGCCAGTCAGTGCCACCAGTCAGTGCCCAGCGGTTGTGCCAGTCAGTGCCGCCAGTCAGTGCCCAGCAGTGATGCCAGTCAGTGCCGTCTATCAGTACCCATCATCAGTGTCACCTATCAGTGCCGCCTATCAGTGCTGCATATTAGTGCCGCCTATCCGTGACACCTCATTAGTGCTGCCTATCAGTGCCGCCTATCCGTGCCACCTCATTAGTACTGCCTATCAGTGCCCTTTAGTGCTGCCTATCAGTGCCCATCAGTGCCGCCTATCAGTGCCCATTAGTGCTGCCTCATCAACGCACATCAGTGAAGGAGAAAAATTACCTGTTTGAAAAATGTTATAATAGAAACAAAGAAACTTTTTTTTTTTTTTCAAATTTTTTGCAGTTTTTTAATTTATAGCGCAAAAAGTAAAGCGCCCAGTGGCGATTAAATACCACCAAAAGAAAGCTCTATTTGTGAGAAAAAAATGATCAAAATTTCATATGGGTACAATGTTGCATGATCGCGCAATTGTCAATCAAAGTGCGGCAGCGCTGAAAGCTGAAAATTGGCCTGGTAAATAAGGGGGTATAGGTGCCTGGTAGGCAAGTGGTTATTTAATAAGCTGACTTTTAATTTGGGCATAAGGTCCAATTTGAATGCAAATTCTGTTTCCCAATACATTACCTTTGTATGGATTCGTCATGGCCTGTAAACTCCTGGAAGGCTGACTCCCCTCCTCTATTGGTACAAACTAGAAGCCATTATATAGGGTGTATCTGTGTTGGACATATGGCTAAATTTCTCTTTTTAAACCAATCTTTTTTTGAACTATTAACTTTTTTTAGAAAACCCAATCTGTTGTTTAAGTTCACAATTTAGACAATTATGTTCCTGTAAGTATAATGTTAAAATAATCACAGCATTCGTAGATAATGTGAATCCTCTGCATCTGAACTTTTACAAGAGGTTATATATAAACATGTATTTGCTGAATCTGGTTACTTGTTTTCCACTAAGAGCAGGGTCATTATAAAAGCTAGCGTACTTGTTGATATAAAAAAAAATGTGAAATAGGAAGGTATAGAGGGATCAAAGTAAAAGATCATCTGTGAGGATGTCTTAATAGTTTTAACAAATATTTCAAGACCAATAGTTTGTGAACCTGTATATGGCCATATAAAATATATATTCATCATTTTGGGGAAAAAAAAAACATTAACATGGAAAATATTTAAAGAGGTAACATTTTAACATGGATATTAATATTTAAAGAGGCCATTCATTTTTAATAGAAATTATCCATCTGCATATGACCCTTTTACGAAGTAACAGAGATCTGTCCTCCTTTCTCAAAAAGCAACTAATTGAGGGTTCAACAGCAGCAAATTGACGGTTCAACTAAGGTGTACAATTAAGGTGTAATTATAAAGTGGACCTTTTCAGACAGCACTTTAAAGCAACATTAAAAAAGGATAATAAATCAGTAACCCCTCAATGACCATTGGGAAACCTATTACATTTCCTTACTGGAATTACTTGTTTGTCAAAACAGACCTGGGCAGTGCATAATAAAGAGGGTGCAGCACATTTTTGTTCTTTTTTTTTTTTTTTTTTTTTTTAACAAATGGCTATCTGTAAATGTACAACTTATTTTAAAATCCAACATGCTAACTAAGAACCCCCAAGCACACTTATACAAAATGCTTGAGTTTCCAGATTGACAATTCCAGACTTGGCAGTAATCCTTATCAAGACCTAAAATTACATTTTTAAAACACCATTTTCAGGAAATGTATTAATCCTAAACTCCAAAGACTTGTTCTAGTATGGGGACCTATTATGCTCATTAACTGGTTGTGTCAATGTAAACAAGAACATCACTGTGTATAACAATTTGAATAAATGATTCCTGTGCAAACTATTTTACAGCCATATAGAAATTAAATCAAATATCACTACAGTTTCCATTTTGTCTTTTGATTTCTAATTTTGCTGTTTCCTCAGCAGCAGGTGGAAACAAATAGTGATCCTTCATAAAATATCTGCAACAGAAACTCATTAGTAAGTTTTATCTACAAACATCTTTATTTCCTTGTGAGACATGACTTACAGTGTGAGCAGGTTCGAGGTGGTGCATACATTATGCAGGTACGCTGGCGCCTGACACAGTTAAAAATGGCTTGGGGGAATGAATATCCAAGGTAGAAACAATTCATCCTAAATTATTCTAGCCTGATCTTTAATGGCATTCCAAAAATCAATACTATTGGTGAACATAGAGATCATTTATGTGCCAGTTGACTATATATTTCAAGAATACCACTGCAATTTAAATAAAGGCCATAATTAAAAAACAAAAACAGAGCAATGAGGGGACATGTTTTAATTTTAAATGCCTGTCTGCTTCCTATACCTACCTATCGGCCAAACATTTTGATGGGAAATCATACTGGTCGAAAACACCCACTATTCTGAAATAAGGAATAATCCTCTTGTTTTAAGGATATGTGATGGGATAAGATGTGAATACCGTCTGTTCTAAGAAGGCTGTACTTTGCTACACACTGGTGCAGTGGAGAATGTTTGGTTCCTTAAAGTGATTGTAAAGTCAAACATTTTTTTTAATTATAAACACATTTAAACTTACCTGCTCCATGTACCGGTATTGCACAGAGTGACCCTGAACCTGTTCCCTTCTGGAGTCCCCCACTCATGCTCTCGGCTCCTCCTTTTCTGTGTCTGCATTAGAAAGCTGCTTGCTATGGGGGGCAGAGCTGCAGGCTCAATCCCGAGCTGGGATGTGCTTGCTTATAGACACACACGGCATGGCTTAGCTCTGCCCCCTCACTCCCTCCTCATTGGATTTGATTGACACCTGCAGGAGCCAATGGCTCTCGCTCCTACCAATATGCCCTGTGAGACCAGGAAGAGCGAGCAGTGCTGCTGTAGATGGGCACACTGCTGGACTGATACTATACTCAGTTAAGTATTTAGGGTGGGGTGGAAGGGAAGCATACAATTAGTAAAAGGTTTTTTTTTTACCTTAATGCAAGTAATGCATTAAGGTAAAAAAAACCTTGTGACTTTAGAACCACTTTAAATTCCTCCTCACCATAACTTTCTGGGTTATACTCCCACATTCGTACTCAAACCCTACACCATAGAAGCCATAGAATATGGCTTTAGCAAGCTGTGGACATGGACAAGGAACACAAGGAACCTCCCAAGCTATCTTCCTAGCACAAAGGCAAGTCAAAGCAACACGTCCAGGGTTGAAATCCCATCCAAGAAATAAGTCTTCCAGTAGCAGTGCCTGCTATGTATGTTTAAGGGCAACAAGAGAAGTTAGGTTGGCATAACTGATATGGTCATGTTCACTAGTAATACAAAGAGCAGAAAGGATAGCACACAGACTCTGAAGTATTTTAATAGCCTTAATTTGCTGTATATTTGCAAATTGAATACATGTGTGCTTTGACAGTATTTTACACTTTAACAAATCAATTTTAAGTATCCTACTGTCCAAAGCTCAAAAATATTAGTTCTGGATATCATAAATCACTCAAGGTTATTGTAGCATATGGATATATTATGTTAGTATTTTGCTATAGATTTTCAACTGATTGTTCTAAAGCATTGTTACAGAAAATGGCTATCACTATCTACAGCTGTCAAGAACATATTTTGAAATATATATGTATGTGCCAAATGGTACCTTCTGCTAACAATCATAGACTAATCACTGTAATTATTATTCCCTCTTTTATACTGTCTATGAATATAGATATGGCTCTACATGGAATCTGGTAAAGTCATGTTGCTGACATTGGGAATTACTTAGGAAAGGGACTGCATAAATGGAACAGGCCTCTTGATTGAGATCTACACTCTTGCTGTCAGTACTAATTACCTTTTCTTTGCAGTGATTTAAATGTACTGCTGTGCTAACACACTCATAGTGAAGCTATAAGATGTTTTGTCTCTTTCCAAAAAAGAACATAAAAGAGTTTATTTATCCCATAGAAAACCTCAGCAGCATTTGTTCTGCTCCTTTTTTTTAAGTTTTGACTTTTCATTATGAAGCATCATGCAATTAATAATAGATGTTAAATGTACATTAAAAATAGCTTATTGAAGCATGAGAGTTACAGGACATCTACCAATTGCTAGTAGTAGACATGAGTGATTCATTAAAATTAGTGATAAGAAATGGAGCACCAAATTAGACCAGAACAGAATCTTGTTTTATTTTCTCATAAAACTAAAGTTGGTTGCTACAGGCAGCAACTTCACTTTTTACACTAATTTTCATTTCACCAGTTTTAATGAGACACTTTCATAAAACTTTATAGGAGTAGAAAGAGAAAAAGGTAGCTGGTTGGTTCTTTAACTACATTTTCAAATTGTGGACCTCTAAAAGGAGAAGTACAGCCCAACCTGTATGGCTGTACTTCTCCTGTGGATCACAGGAGTACAGTTTGTTCTGCACTCCTGTGACCGTTTTCAGCAGACAATGGGCTAAAGTCTGATGTTGGCTGATGTCACTCAGCCAGTCCAGGCTGGGGAAAGATCCCAACCATATGGTTGGGAACAGGGGCGGACTGACCATTTGGAAAAACTCGGGCACTGCCCGAGGGCCCGGGGTCAGTATGGGGCCCCATGAGATGCCCCTGGTACCTTTTTCATAGGCTTTTTTGAGTTTGGGCAAGGATACAGGGGCCCCATGATCCCCTATTGCCCGGGGGCCCCATGAGTTGTCAGTCCGCCCCTGGTTGGGAACTACCCAGAAGCCTGGATGTGCACCTGGCTTAGTCTCTCTGAGAGCTTGAGCCAGCCGCTCCCACCCTCTCCACATCCTAGCACTCCACTGGAGGGGCAGAGCAGAGAGCAGTAGCTGCCAGTCACCACTCTCTGCTCATAGCAGTGGGAAGAACTGAGCAATCAGCGATGTCTGATCACTCAGT